CGTCCCTGGACCTGGAGAGCCCTGGCCAGCTCCAATCGCCCGCGCGGTGGGCGCTGATGGAGGAGTTTAAGGGACAGGCTGCCCCCTCCTCTTCCTGTGTCTAGGAAGTGTCACCCTTCCTGGGGAGGTGCGGTCTTAGATTTCAGGCGCTGGCAGGCTGGCCCTGGCAAAAGCCTCCCCCGGAGGGCCCAGATCTGCCCTAGGGATCACTTCTTTACAGCTTCCTACACGCGGTCATCCCGTTCTTGTAAAACCGTACTTGCCGCCGTTGAGAAAGTCATCGGAGCGTGCAGGAGGCCAGGAGAGCTTGGGAGAGGATAACTTGGTGCCCTTGATCACCACTTCTAGAAAATCCACCTGCAGTAGTGCCTTGGACTCAGGTCGGGAGGTGTGGAGGAAGGAGGAGGGGGAGCAGAGGAAAGTGGTCTCAGCCATTAGTCAGTCCGTGTTTGCCAGTGGACAAGGTGCTGTTGAGCCGAAGGGATGTCTGCATCTTCGATTGCACCCCATTCTGACAGCAGCACAGCGGGGTGGGTAGGGAGAGGCTTCCGAAGGGAGTGGGGGGTTCCGTGGTTTTTCATTTCTCAAAACTTTTTACTGTGGATTAGGTGAAGGTTTGCAGAGTGATCATCAGTTTTACATTCAACAATTCAAACATACTTGCTTCATCTCATACACTGTCATCTTAATCTAAGGTCACCTGCGCTGTTTTCTCCCAGCGTCTCCTGTGTGTCTTCTTCCTCCTCTCCTAACCCTTGGAATCTTGACCATTGCTAAGTGCTGCCCTTATGATCTCCTGTGGTCTATTTTTTTTAACCACATGGTGGGTTCATTTGCAGACCTGAAGAGTGACCCTGGCTCATAGTGTCCTTGTCTGAACTGCACACCTGGTTTCTATGACTTTGATTTTGTTGCACCTGTTCTCCTCACTCTTTCCAGGACCTTGTAATGTGATCCTCTTCAGAGCAATTGATAGTGGTAGCTGGGCACCATCTAGTTCTTTGGGTCTCAGAGTTGGGGAGACTGATGCCTGTGTGCGCCATTAGTCCATTGAACTACTTGTTTCCATATATCTGTTGGTTTTCCTCACTCTTTCCTCCGCAAGGACGGGCAGTGGTAGCATTCTTGTCTTCTTTGGGGGAGATCTGCTTTGATTCCTAGTCAGTGCACCAACGTGTGTGTGTGTGTGTGTGTATGTATCACACAGTTGCTAATTGAAGTTTAGTTTTGTGGCAATGCTGAACAGGTTTCATCAGAGGTGGGGTTGGGTCTTCCAGACTAAGTCAAGCTCGGAAGAAAGGCCTGGTGACCTACTTCCAAAAATCAGCCAATGGAAACCCTATGGTCAGATACCTTCTGAGTTTTCAGGAAGCCAACTCTAAGGCAGCTACCTACAGTAAGAAGGAGGAGGTTCCACCCAACTGCTGAAGGTACAAAAGCAGGAGTGACGAGAGGGCGGAGATGAATATTGCCTAGTATTTTGAGAAGCATTGATTTGACTCCCAGTCCCTTGGTCTTCTTTCTAGCTTTGGGAAACGAATGGCTAAACACGTTCACAGAACTGAATTAGATGTTATTTGGGTCTCAGGAGGGAGGAATGAACAAGTTGCACATGGCCTGTGCTTCTACAGCAAATGGTCTATTGTGAAAGGCAAAACAAGTCATGGAGGCTAGCCACCTATCTATTGTGGGAGCCAAGAAATGATTGCAGATGTTTCTGTGATGAAGGAAACACGCACCAGTACCGACAGGCAGAGGAGCCCAGGTGGTTTACTGGATTCAATAGGCGGGCAGTTCTCTGTGAACCCACCAGTGCTCCAAGGGAGAAAGAGGAGGCTGCCTGCTCCCAGAAAGGTTTCATATTTGGAAACCGCACAGAGCAGTTCTACTCTGTCCTATAGCGTTGCTATAAATTGCCATTGCCTCGATGGCAGCAGTTGGGTAGGTGGGTTGAAAATGACAGAAATCACTGAGAGGACATGAAAGACAGCATGGCAAAGATTTAGGAGGCAAAGGGAGCCCCTGATGCAAAGGCCTCCAGACTGGAAAGCAGTCACTGTGTTCAGAAAACGGTGACAGGACTGGGGTCACTTCTGCATGGGGCTGAGAAAGGAGGGTGGCTGGACTTGAGGGTGAAGGAGCAAGCAGTAAGATCATGCAGGGAAATGGAGTTTGAGACCCTGGTGAGGCGTGCTGGAAACCTTCTCAGGGCAGCTGGACCTGCTGCATGACAGGATCCCATATGCAGACACTTTTCAAAACCACTGTGGTCACCCAGTGGGGGCATTCAGGGCTACGTACGCAAGAGAGTCCAGTTGATAGTAGCTTGGCTTAGGACAGGGAATGTGGAAACGGGAGCAGGTGATGGACTTGAACTACATTTTGGAGGTAGACTGAGGACTATTTAGATAGGTAGTGAAGGAAACAGAGTAGGGTTGACAGGTAAAATACAGGATCCTCAGTGAAATGTGAATGCAAAATGAACAATGACATTTTTAAATTGGAAATATCTGGGGACAAACTTCACCTGGAAAACATTTTTAAAAATTCAGCAGCAACTCACCCCTGGGTAATTAAATCATAATGATGACACTTTTTCTGGTGATTCTAGTGTGCAGCCTGGTGGCTTGTCTGCGAACCCTTAGAAGAGCGAGCTGAGAGGGGAGGAAGCTGAGGGCAGCCCTGACGGCTGGCTGAGGAACAGGGCGGGCACTGTCCCTTCGGCAGGGTTTACTGGTGCTCTACCCTCCCCCCACCCCCCGCCAAATTTATCAAAATCTAATTGTGTATGCCAGCCTTCTACATATTTGACTGTGTTGAATTACTTTCTCAGCAAACTCTCTTAAACAACTGCATTGGAAAATGAAGGCATTAACAATTATTTCTCTGAAAACAGAAAAGTAAATTAAACAGGCCACAGCTCTTGTGTCTTGTTTGCCCCAGCAGAGCCCTCTCTGCTACCCCTGATTCCACTTAATAATACGGATCTGTAAATAAGAGAAACACGAGGTGCTGTGTTCTCAGAAGGACCCTTGTGTGGCACTAAACCACTTATCCCACTGCAGGGGCAACCTGGCTGCTTCCTGCTGGAGCCATAGAGGATAAGGTGGGGGTTCTGGCTCATTAGACTCAAATCCGGGAACTGGCGGGAGAAGCCCCGTGTTTCCCTGCAAAATGCCAGATGCAGGGTCAGGCACTGAGAAGGTACAGAACAGCCCTGCCACCTCTCCAGCTGGATTCAGGCAGCATGGTGTGCAAGCACTACACAGAGGATGTAATGTCTACGGCTCAGCTGCCCCTTCTGTGAATAGGAACAGAAGTAATTTCCACCTTATGTGGTAAAGCAGGGAAGGTGCTGTGAAAGTGGCATAGGGAGGGCACATCTGACCTCTGACTTTCCTATCACCAAGAGGAGGCAGAGGTCAGATATGCTACACTCCTTTCTTCCTTTACCCTATTCTGACACCAAGCCTTCCTCCTACAGCACTCCACTGCTCTACTGAGCTCAGGAATCCATTGCCATGGCCACATAGAACTCACAGAGTACTCATGGTTAAGGGCAATTATTAGGGAAATTAACAGTTTATCTGGAGTCAGGATCAGCCAACGGTAAGGATACAGTCATTGGTCCATAGCAACACCTCAGCCAGCAGCCAAGCCTCTTTCCTGTCCTTAGCCTTTCAACCAGGTAGTCCCTTGGCCTTTGTCCCCATAGGCCAGGAAGTCAGCCTGCTGCTCTGCCTCCCAGCCTCATAGTCTCGGTGCTGCTCCTCTGTTCTGTCTCACGGTCGTCTTGCTTCGGCCTCCTGTCTGCTTGGCTCTTTAGTTTTGTCCCTTGATCTCTGTGCCATGCGTAGTGGAGAAACTCCCTCCAACATGCAATTATAGCCACAGGCATAGAGACCAGAAATTATAACACATAACAGATTGAGGCTAGAAGGACCATATAGTAATGGACTACATCTCAGATGCCGAGTCCCTATTTTAAGAGGTCCAGTTCCTCGTGTTGTGTTGTTGTATTTTCTACTGTGATAGCCCAGCCCTGAAGGAACTTATTATCTTTGTTTTATAGATGTGGAACTGAAGCTCAGAATTTAATGATTTTGCCCAATGTCCGATAGACAGTAAGAGTGGGGCTAGGTGTGGAAACAGCTTCCTTGATATCACAGCTTGTGTGCTCATTGGCTTCCTAGTTACTTTGGAAGTAACTAGGATTAACTCTGGAAGCAGAATTAACTCTGTAAGGTTTGGATCATGCTTTGCAAATGCCTCTTTCCTCTTCTCCCTACTTCTCCCACCTCTAGGGTCCCATACTTTCCAAATGCCTTTCAAGGGCAACCCAGAAAGAGAAAAAAAACAAAAAAACAAAGTGTAGGTGTCAGCTTCCATGCCCCCACCCCCTGCCAAAGTGCACCATGAAATCTAAATACCACCTCTCCCTGGAAGCCCACCCCACACTTTATCAGTCCTTGTCTTCTTATCAACAGGCACCTTGGTGGCGGAATGGTTATGCATTTGGCTGCTAACTGCAAGGTCAGCGTTGGAAGCCTCCAGCCTTTGGAAAAATGTGTGTGTTGTTATTAGGAGCCGTCCGTTTGATTCTGACTCAGTAATTCCAAGTGACACTTGTTAGGTGCTGTTCAATCTATCCCGACTCCTAGTGACGCTGTGTATAGCAAATTGAAACACTGCTTGGTCCTGCACATCCTCACACTCTTCAGGAGGCTTGAGCCTATTTTTGTAGCCACTATGTCAATCCATCTCATTGAGGTGCTTCCTCTTTGGAGCCGACCCTCGCCTTTTCCCTGTCTGATATCCTCCAGGGACAAATCTCTCCTGCTCACATGTCCAAAGTCCATGAGATCAAGTCCAGTCATCCCCCTTCCAGGGGACATGATGGCTGTGCTCTTTCCAAGAGGGATGTGTTCCTTCTTCTGCTTGTCCCAGCCATGTTTGCTCTTCTTCCTCAAGACCACAATTCAAAGGCATCAGCTCTCTAGTCTTCCCTGTGTCCTGCCCAGCTTTTACATGCCTACAAGGTGATTGAAAATAGCGTGGTTTGGGTCGTGGGTGCCTTCATCCTCCAAGAGACATTTTTGTTTTTTCAATGTTTTAGAGAGATCTTTTGCAAAAGTTTTGCCCAACGCAATATTTTTTATTTCTTAAGTGCTACTCCCACAGGTACCGACTGTGGATCCAAGTACAATGAAACCCTTGACAATGTCAATCTCTTCATTTCATGATACGCTGATTGGTCCTGTTGTGAGGCTTCCTGTTTTCTTTAGGTTGAGCTGTAATCCCGACTGAGCGCTGTAGTCAGTGATCTTCATCAGGAAGTGCTTCCAATCCTCTTGACTTCCAGAAGCAAGGATGTGTCACACAACAGCTTAGGAATGAGCCTTCCTCCAATCCTGATGCCACGTCCTTCTTCATCGAGTCCAGCTTCTCTGATAATTTGGTCAGCATAGAGAGCAATGAAGTGCGGTCAGAGGCTGTAAGCCTGACACACACTTTCCCAGATTGGACACTCTGCAGTATCCCTTGTTTCTGTTCTAGGAACTTCCCTTCGGTCCACAAACAGGTTCTATTCTACATGAGTACAACGAAGTGTTCTGGAATTCCTTGTCATTGCAATGTTAGCCACAACTTATTATAGTTCACACAGTTAATGCCTTGGCACCGTCAATAAAACACAGATTAACGTCTTTCTAGTATTCTCTGCTTTCAGCCAAGATCCGACCTCAGCAAGATTGTCCCTTGTGGTAAGTCCTCTTCGCAGCCTGGCTTGTTCGGGTTCTGGGGTGGTTTGCCTCAGTTCTTGTTCCTCAGCGCTGAAGGCATTCACGTGGCAGAAGCACTTTTGTAAGTCCAAGTAAGTTTTGTGAGGGTGAGTTTCAGGTATGACAGTCTCAGAAAGTACACCCTACCTCTGGAAAGCGTGCAAGGCAAGAATTTGCGACTGAAGACGGCCACTTCCGGGAGTGCGGAATGCCCCCGTGAACGGAGTGCTGGCCCAGGAGCGTGGAGCAAGAGGGAGACCCAATGGCCCTTGGCCTGCTTCTACCCCTCCCACTACTTGAGGGGTGTGCCTGAGGCTTTTGGCACTCCCAGTTCTGGGGCCCCTGTGATGTAAAGTTGCTGGTGCCTCCTGGGTAGGTGCCAGGTTGGTCTCCACCTGGACCGAGGTAGCCTGGGTCTGAACGTGCTCAGTTTTGGATTCTCCACCTACTGTCGAACATGTGCCTGATTTCTTTGCAACCCCTTTTAGCGTGGCCTGGCCAGTTAATTTTTGTGTAGGGTCGACCTTTGATGGAGACAACCCCCTTTCTCCCCAGTCTTCTTACCGGTCCGCTTGAAATTCTGCCAGTTCCCTGGCAGTGTACTCCTGCCATCATTTTTTAAATTGCCTGGTGGAAAATTTTGCTTGCATGTGGTATTAATGATATGGTTTGATAATTTCCACATTTCATTGGATCACCTTTTTTGGTAGATCTCTTCCAATCAGTTGGCCAACTAGCAGTCTTCCATATTTCTTGGCCTAGGCACACAACCAGTGCAGTGCTGCAGCCCTAGAACGGAACATCTCTGTTGGGATCCTGACAATCCCTGGAACTTTGTTTTTGCTTGATGCTTTCAGTGGAGCTCAGACTTCTTTCAGTACCATTTTTTCTTTAAAATCACATTCTAATTCCTGAAAATGTTGAGTGTCGACCAATGCTGTTGGGTAGAGAGGCTCTTCGTATTCCTCCTATCTTCCCCGCCCCCCTCTCTTTTTCCTGATGCTTCTTCCTGTGTCATTTGATATTTTGCCCATCAAACCTTTGAGCCATACAATTTGAGACTATTTTTTCTTCAGTCCTTTTAGCTTGGGCATGCCAACCATGTTGTTCCCGTTTGGTGCCCCAGCTCCAGGTGTCTGCCCATCTCACTGCGCTGCTCGGTGTGTGTGCCCTTACGTGAAAGGAAAGCGCCCCGTTTCTCTTCATGTTCTCATGCGGCTCTTGATACGACTCCCTTTGTCTTTTAAAACCGCACAGGCTTCCTTTGCCCTTCTCTAAGTACATGCCGGGAAGACTTTCCTAAGGTCCCCTACGGTGTTTCTCTCCTGTGTCCCTGACGGTCCAGGAGCGCTGCCCCAGGACTCTCTGTTGTTGAATTGACGCCAACACCGCGTCTCTGTGGCACTAGCTCCGCACTGACCAAGCTTTGTTGAGCCACTTGGGAGTTCTCTACTGGCTTGCCTCAGCTCAAGGGCAAGGTCCTTTATACAGTTTGGAAAGCTCTACTATATAAATAGTAATAAGAGTGGTGCTGCTTTGACCATGTAATGATGCCACATGGAATCCTAAACATCCCCCATCCCTCTGACAGACACACTCAGGTATTGGCAGGAGCTCTTGTCTTGAGCTGAAGCTTGACAGTCTTTACTTAGTGATTTTTCTAAACCGTAAGACTCCTTTTTTCTTTGACAATCCTTCTTAGATGTTTTAAGGCCATCTCTTGAATGTCTTCCCCCCCCTCTCACTCCTTCACACCGTCAATTGGTTCATATAATCTCAGCTCTCTAATAGAAAGCCCTCTGACTCCGTGGCCTTTTCAAGCATCCGGTCTCAGAATCGTCTTAGCAGTGATTCGTGAAATGAAATGTGCGTAATGCTTTCTCAAAATGAAACCGTTTAAAACAAAAAGTCCAAAGAGAACTTTGATGTAAGCGACTCACACTCGCTTCTTGGATGCCCGTTCTTCCCCCTTTTGCTGTTGTTCTACGGCACTGTGGCCGAGGAAGAACAAAGTCTTTAACGGTGGGAACCTGACAATTGAACTCAGTGTCTCGGTTTCCCGGGGAGATGATTGTGTCAGGCCCTGAACGTAATGTTTATTGTGTGATAGGGACGGGGACCTGGTGCTTTGGGAGTGAGTGGCAGGCCCTTTAAAGGACTGCTGTACTTTCATCATCTGCTGTGGTACCCTTGGCAGCAGACATCTATTGAGAACTCACTGGAAACTGGGCCCAATTTACTCCAAGTTACAATAAATCAATGTGGACTCTCAGTCAACTGTTCTCCTCACTATTTTTGTTCTCCATCCGAGACAAGAGGCATTGCCTTTTAAAAGAGCGACACTTCATCCAAAAGCCTGGGAAACTGGAGTTAGCAGCAGTGTTTGGGGCATTTGGGGAGGAGTGAGCGTCTTGAAGATCTTATTGGCTGACTCTGACAGTATTGACTCAGACATTGAACCTAATGTCTTGCCCAGCACCTGGTCTATGGATGCTCAATAAATATTCGATGAGTGAGGATTGGTGAGTGAAATGCACTTACCAACATTATATCTGGGCTTCTTCAATTCGTATCACGTTCCTTCACACCTGTGCTATAAAATACTGGTGGGCAAGGCTTTTGTGTCTGGTTCAAGTCTTAGATTTTAATTTGTAGTGAATCTTTTCCGCGTTTCCAGGGCGTGTAACCTTTGACCCTTTCAACCACATGCAGGTCTTCTTTGATGTCAGGATTGGGGACAAAGATGTTGGCAGAATTGTCATTGGCCTGTTTGGAAAAGTGGTACCCAAAACTGTGAAAAATTTTATTGCTTTGGCAACAGGAGAGGTAGGTCTCAGTTTATTTCCTTTAATTACTCTCAGAACAGCCTCTTCCTTATTTTAATCCTAGTATAAACATATCTTCTGGAAAAGCAGTCTTACGTTAATAGATGAGAAGAAGTGGTGACATTCTAACCGATTTTACTTATTCTCCTATAAAGTGTGTATTTGTAAAAACTTAGGCTTCTCAAAATCTCTTTCTCTTTCTTTTTTACTTATTCACTTTCATACCTTACTTTCATGGGTTATGACCTCCTCTTCAGTTCCTTCCATGGTTTATTATTTTTATGACTGGTCAGCTAATAGTTAATTTCCATGAGTAGGTCATTGCTGGGACCTAATCAGACTTTATAGGTATTTTGTTTAATGTTCTCACTTTGTTGTTTCCAGATAAACACTGGGCCTTATCTTCCAGGGTGGGTTATATCTACTTGTGTATTCAATTGAAAAAAATCTCTTTAGAAAGGCTATGGCTATAAGGGAAGCAGATTTCATCGTGTCATCAAAGATTTCATGATTCAAGGAGGAGACTTCACCGCGGGAGATGGCACTGGCGGTAACCATTCCTCTTGCCTTTCTCCTTTCCCCGCTTTCCAACTTGAACCTCAGATGAAGTCACTAGGTCAACCCAGATGGAATTTCCAGAGTGAAGGAACAAAGTCGTGAAGACAATTGAACTAATTATTGAAGGAGGAGAGAGGTTTGCAGAGAACACCCTCCAGAATGGGATTGGAGTGTCCAGAATTATATCCCATGAGAAATTATGCCTGGAAGGGCCAATGACTTGACGACCACCCATGGGCTCGCTGAGGTGTTAAGACTGCTCCTGCTCACACTGCTGTTTTATAGGGAATCGTGTTCTGCTCCACTGGCTGCTGTGCCAGGTCCCCGACACACCCCTCCCTTTGGCGCCTCTGCTCAAGTTTGGGTCCTTGGGGGTTCTCGGGCCTCATCACCCTCTGTGTCCTGAAGTCACTGTTTCTAATGACAGTCAGGCTAGACCGTTGATTTTAGTGTGCAGGCAGGAAAGAGTACCAGCTTCAGTCAGGAAGTCAGAAGTTCAAATTCTGCTCGGGTATTTTCTTTACTGTAGCCTGTGCTCCTGTTGCCAAATGAGACCGAGAATGCCTACAAATAGCCAAGGGTGTATAAGAAATGCTTGCCGTACCCTGGCTGGGTGCTGAGGTTGGACCGGTCTACCACACCTGACTGGTCAGCACGTCACCAGAACACACCTCCAAGACAATGGTCTAGATGCAAGGACAGAGTCTGAGCCACTAGGATAGGACAGGTCAGCTAGCTTTACGATATCGTGCTGCCCTTCCCATTTCGGAGTAAAATCATTGACCCGTGTGGTCAGTGTTTGGCCCTTGATAGGACAGAGGGAATCCTGTCACCAGTGGCTATAGATAAGCTTTGTTGTTGTTTTTGTTTCTGACCCCAGTGCCCTACTTCATTAAGGAGTTAATATACCCTCTCTCTAGTACTTTATTTTTGCCCATCTTTTCCCGTCCCCGCATCCTGCATGGTTGTGCTAACAGAGTCCATAAAACCTATGCTCCCCTGTGAAGAGTCTGCTTTCCTTTGGCCTCTGTTGACTCTCTTCCTTTTCTCTGGTCTTTTCCAGGCGTTAGCATCTATGGGGAGACATTTCCAGATGAGAACTTCAAGCTGAAGCACTATGGCATTGGGTGGGTCAGCATGGCCAACGCAGGGCCCGACACCAATGGCTCTCAGTTCTTTATCACCTTGACCAAGACCTCCTGGTTGGATGGCAAACATGTGGTATTTGGAAAAGTCCTTGATGGCATGGTACCTAAATATATTTATTTGAATAATCTTTATTTTCATCTTAACATGAAATCCATTGTGATACTCTTGCCTCTTCAAAGGTGAATAAGATGCATTATGGTATGGTAAATTATGTATGGGGTTGGGGCTTCAAAACATCTGCGGAAAAATCCCAAGATCTTTTCATTCCATTTTTTCCATGAACTTTTTGAAGCCCCTTGACGTGTGTGAATGTCTGCAGTCTTTCCTTGTTTTGGTTAAGAGTGCTGTCTCACTGTTTGATGGAAGGAAAAGCCCCGTTTCCTGTGGCGAAATCCAGCCAGAGTCTCATGATTCAGTCCATGCTTAAGTCACGGTTAAAGACATCTGCTCTCCATAGTAATGTTTAGCGGCTCTGCTCTGCTCGCTTAGCCTCTGAAATGGCATCTCTCAAGTCTGCCCAGCCCAATTCGGGTCTGTGCTTGACTCCCTCACCCTCTCAAATGTAATTTTGCTTTGTTTTCATGACTTAATCCTCCTTCCCTCATCTAAACATAAACCAATTCACTATTTACAATTGCTCATAAACTTGTACTTGCTATTTTGATTCAATTCAGCAAAAAGTCAGGAACCGAGTGGGCAGATTCAGAACCTCACTTACAAGGCAAGCTGAACTTTTAAAGACAGAATTCTCTTTAGCAAGTGGGATCAGAGATATGGCAAACACTTATCACTTAGTATCTCTTATATCCTATCACAATAAAAATACACCTAGCTTTCATGAGTCTTTATTGTCCTCAGAAGAATCTATTTCTAAACAGTCACAAATGCCGGTGCTCCTTAGGCCCTTCTTGAACTTGGCTTTTAGAATGCATTCGAGATGGACATGCAGGTGTTGCCTCACTTGGATCCTGACTCATTGGGCATAACCAAGGTTTAAATTGTTTGAATGCAAATGAATGCATTTATTCATCTATTAAATGAGCATTTTGAGTACAACACCATGCTATACTCTTGGAAAAATCTAGAGTTCAAGTGTTTGTTTTGTTTTTCTCCTTCTGGTCATGGTTTTATGTCTTCTCATCCTTTAGTTCATATATCTTACGGTCCTACCTGTAGCAGTTTCCTTGGGCCCAGTGGTACGCCTCCGGGGAGTACTGCGGCCTGGTTTTAAGGAGCAGTCCCTCCTGTCCTTTGAGAAACTGTAGACTTTTTCTCCAGAAAAAAATAAAATGAGACTACGCAAAAAAGTGTGTGTGTGTGTGTGTGAGAGAGAGAGAGAGAGTTTTTCAAGCTACAAGGAATTTGAAGAATCCCTCCCCTTGATCTTCCAAAGATTCTCGGGGCTGCTTTTGACACTACAGTTGTCTGGGCCTCATTTCACACACAACAAATCAGAGCCTTTAGACATGGGCCCGTGAAGATGCAATTTTAAGAAGTACAAGTTCTTCCAGTGTATAGCCATTGCTTTAGGTAGAGCACACACAACCTATGTAGAAATATACATTATTGTTATAACACTTGTGCTTTGTTCTAAATTAATCTGAGTTCAGCCACCATTTGAGTTAATTAGATGACTAATGAAAGCTATAAACATTCTCTCCAAAATAAATAAGTGTACACATGACAATACCTGTCCAAGGTACTTAGATGCTTTGTTGCTATTTGTCTCATGTTTCTTTGGAAAACCCATGTAAACCCTACTTTTTTAGCCCTTCACTATGATACAAAATATGTTTCTAAAATCCCCCAAGCCAAAGAGAAAATGGCCTTAACTCTCCATAGGTTTGGGGCTATATTAGTATGATAATCATCTTCTAGGTTAATGGCTTGGATTAACTTTTAAATGGGCAAATCATTTTATTATGCCTACACCTATTATACAGGAATAGTGCTTACTGGCACTGTCCAGTAAGCAGTGGGCTGCTAACTGCAACTTTGACAGTTGAAGCCCACCAGCTGCTCCTCCGGAGAAAGGTGAGGTTGTCTGCTCCCATAAGGTTTTCCAGCTTTGGAATCCCCATGCAGTGTCACTATGAGTTGGAAGTGGCTCAATGGCAGTGGGTTTGCTTTTGAGGGTTTGGTACCACTCATAGGCTGGAGCTGAAATGGACCCCAGTCCCACAGTAAGTGCTACCACAGAGCTGTAGCAGGTGAGCAGAAGGGCAGGAATGAGGACAAGGTAGGGCAAGAATGAAGGAAATGGTCCAAAATTTATTGTGGTGATGATTTTACAATTCTTCTGAACTACTGAATGATGTGCCAATATAGCTGTTTTAAGTTTTTCCAGCATGTCAATTTCTTATAAAAAAGAATCAAAGGAGTATAGCTACATGTTCCCTAAGTAGCAAGAAATGAGGGGAATTTCATTCTACTCTATATACATTCTCTGAACATTGTAAGTTTCTCTCCATTAGCTTGCACCGTTTTTGTAAGCTTAAGAAAGCTTCTGCACTGCCTGCACTTTGTGGTTTAATGTGGATTTTATCGTCTAATTGCTGTGGTCACTGGTCAGAGTTGAACCATGCCAAGTGTCTACTCTTTTCTTCCCAGACCGTGGTCCACTCTGTAGAACTTCAAGCAACTGATGGGCATGACCGTCCACTCACTGACTGCTGGATCGTCAACAGTGGCAAGATAGATGTGAAAACTCCCTTTGTGGTTGAAGTCGACAACTGGTGACAGAACTGATGAAGAAAACAACAAAACACACAGAATCGCACCCCACTGGCTGTGCCAGCGGATCTTTCGGTTCTTCAGCACCGCTTCCTTGTTGTTTCCACTTGCTTTTAATTTTCTATCCCACCTCACAGGAAAGGTCCAAGAAGCAACCACTGAAAGCTGGTCTTGCTTGAACTTTATTAAATTACTTATTCGGACACTTTGCATTTCCAGGACATAACTTGTCCTCTAATGGTGCTATATATTTTTTTAAAGCAGAACTCTTGTGTTGATGCTTTCTAAGAACTTAAAATCATTATTTGATTGAATTCATTGTGATTCATTTATTCGGTTGTTAGGAAGATTTGTCTGGAAAAGATTGAGGATGTGAAGTTTATTACTTTGTATCCCAACAATTTCTGTAACGCTAGAAGGAATTGATTTGTATAATCTGATGTCATCGGAGTTTTTTACCTGCTAGAAGGTGCTTTAGTGCTCTCTGTAGTAAATACTTTTTCTATGCATCAACTGTTTTTTGCAAGCCTTTCTATTTCCTTATTTTTTTCACATTTTATTGTGATGAGAGTGAAAGGGTGCCGAGTAAATGCACACACGTTTTCTTTCTTTCTTTTTTAAAATCATTTTATTGGGGGCTTGTACAACTCATCACAATCCATCCATCCATCCATTGTGTCAAGCACATTTGTACACTTGTTGTCCTCATCATTCTACTTGCTTTCTTCTTGAGCCTTTGGTATCAGCTCCTCATTTTTCCCTTCCCTCCCCGCCTCCCATTCCCTCATGAACCCTTGATAATTTATAAATTATTATTATTTTGT